TGCTACTGCTCTAATATTTATTTTCTGCATACTGCTTTCAAATACAGAAACATTCTCCAAAGATCCACTAAAAGTATGTGGGGCAAAGAGTTAAGCTATAACCTTGTGTTGCATATTTAGTTCTGTTCTGTTATTATGAGATCTCTTTCCACAATAATGGGGAATCTAGAAAAATCTCTTCAGAGAGATCTGAACTTCAACCCATGCATGTGTTAAGCAGACTGTGAGGATTTTATACAGTTCATTCAGTGGTATGCAACAAGCCAAAATTTGAGAAATGAACTTTAAAGAGAATCAAATGAATATGCCAAGACAAGTTTTCAATACGCACGCCTGAAGTTCAACATGGGAACAGAAATAGATTTGCCTCTTAATGCACATGGCAGGCAGAAACAAATGGCAGTTCGGCTATTTCTCTGGTAAACAAAAAGCCGAATGTAAGAGAAGACTGCTCCGCTTTTGTCAATAATTCAATCCTGTACACTCAACAGCATCCTCATACTCCAAGGAATCATTTGTAGTTGACTGCAAAAAGAGAAATCCATCATCTGCTAAGAGGAGTTAGTCCAATTTATTTGACTTTGCAGGGATACTACCACGACTCCTTAAATAAACAGCAAAATAATCACAGAATCACACAATGGTTGAGGTTGGAAGAGATCTCTAGAGATCATCTAGTCCAACCTCCTGCTCCAACAGGGACACCCAGAGCACGGGGCACAGGGCGGCATCCAGGTGGGTTTGGAAGATCTCCAGAGAAGGAGACTCCACAACCTCTCTGGGCAGCCTGTTCCAGGGCTCTGTCACCTTCAGATGGGTGTCGATAGGAAGAATCAGAAGAATTGTTGATAGGAAGAATCGGAAGACAGAGGTTTAGTATCAGTGGTCCCGCTCTAAAGTCTAAAAAGACAGACCTACCCTTACTGTTAGGCACAGCACACACTACTATGAACTCCAGGTCTGGAATGGCTGGTTTGATATCTTTGTTGGCAAATATGCATCTTTTAATCTTTTCAAGCAGTAAACTTGGATCATGTTTTTTTTTTTCTTCCAGCATAATGATCAACAAGGGGAAATAATTTAACAGACGGAAATACTCTTCATTTAATAAATCAGGTGCAGATATTTAGAAAAAATATGAATAGAGAGATAAAGATTTCAGCAAATGAACCTATAAAATCAAAACAACTTCTACTATGGCAAAACAACTTTCAAAACAACTTTCTACCTTCAAAACAACTTTCTACTATGTTGTGTTCCTGGAAATTCCCACTGAATTGAACAGATTCAAGGATTCATTGACTGCATGATCAACTCCAGTGGATCATAGATTAAAATTTAATACAAGTATCAAAATTAGGAAAGGCCTTAAACTCTGAAAAAACCCACATAATTAAAAGTTTTTTAATATGAAAACCTGTCTTGACTTTAAGCAATGCCAATTTTCAACAGCGTTTCCTGAGGCACATGTTTGTCAACTTAAATATAATTGCCATCAAAAATTATCAGCACATTTTGTACATCTCCAAGTTAGCGTGGGAAAGGAATCTTGAGAAATGGTTCTATGTGATTTCCTCAGCTATGTGTTTTCAAACCATTTAACCAAGTTTTAGCTTTGAAACTACAGCCTGATGGGCTGAAACTTACTTACCATTTTCTACTTCAGAATTTTACTATAAAATAGCTTACAGAAGGACACTCAACAAGCTGCTCAAGAAGCAGTACTTTAAGTACTCTCACACAAAAGATCGCTCAAGAAGAGAGTTTGAGTATGAAAATTGAAACCCAATGAGCTAAGACATTGAAACATGTTAGGACTTCCCAGATTCATTAGAAATTTGTGGAGAAAGAAACGGCAAGAAGTTCTGGAACATCAGACGAGTCGTTTCAAGTGAAATATCAACACACTTATCTTCAAGATAAGAAATTCTGCAGGATGAGGAGAGAGGGAGAAATAAATACAACTACTATCCTGTGCTGTTCTTAAAACCTCTTCTAAAATCTGAAGTCACCTACAAGCATTCTTCCAGAACATATGGAACATCTTCCACTAAAGAGCAAACTTGGGATCATCTTCCACTCCTCCCTCCTTCTCAAACTTTGTCTTATAATTAGTTCTCCACATTTAAGTATCAATTTGGACTAGGATTCTTAAAGTTAAGTGTATGCTTATACACTTATGTAAAGTAAAATTCAACTATTTGCAGTATCAGGTCTTAGACATTCTTGCTGCAGTACATTTACCCACTCAGTGAAATACCTTGCTTAAACACATACACTGGAATAAAAATAGGAAATTATTTGAGTGCAACGGTTATTAACATTTTTTTTTAAAGGCAATCTCCCCGGGTTTCTCCACTTTAGAAACTTTATTTTAGAATCTGAAATCAAATTTAAATTTATTTTAAAATTTGATATTTGATGTCCTTCCCTTCTTTTCCAACTACTTGATGGGTTGGTTGCTTTGATCTTTGGTACCTGCGCGTGAAAATGGTCTTTCATCAAACATGCATGAAAAGAACCATTTTACACAAAGTACCAATGCTCAGTAACATGAGCTGCTTCTGGGAGCTACTTGCCTAAGTGTGTGGAATAGAGAAATGTGATATGTTGATGAAAAAGCCAGCAGTCACTTTTATGATGTATAAAAAATGGATTTTGAAAGGAAACAGATTTTCTTTCTGTATCTCTCCCACCCCAGCTTGTTGCAATGTAAATAAAGGCTCTTCTTTCCTAGACTCAAGAAGCCCAAGAACAGAAAGAGATTTTGCTTGATGGAACAGCACTGAACTGGGAGCTGCACACGTTGCTATGCAGACTGCATTGATCAGCCCCTAAAACAAAGACTCCTGATTACTACAGAACACCATCAAGCAACTGAATCTATAAGTGAAATATAAGCAAGAAACAGCACATGGGTTTGGAAAAGTCATAATAATACAATAGCACCCTGCATTAAGCTGGTAATAAGAAAATGGGGGCAACCTTCCAAGTGTTGATAAACCAATACCTGCATACAGTGCTCCGTTTTGCCACAAAATGTTATTAGCAGCAAATGCATCATTAAATTCTTTAAAGTATTTTCCTTCAGTTTATAGATGTTCTGTTCTAAGAGACATATCTTGAACTTTCAGATTACCTCCAGTTCTATTCCCTTGTTATCTATATATCTCAGGAAATGCATTAAAAACAAACAAAAAACAGAGAAAAAAACACCACCACTTGCCATACGTATCTGGTGATAAATATGGAGCACAATATCAATCAAACCAGCTTAATCTTTTGAAGACTGTAAAGTTTAAATTCTCCATCTTCAAGGTGTGTTAAGGTCACATCACAGAACTATTTAGGTGAAATGACAAAACTGAATATGAGAGCTGGTTGAAAATTCTCAAACATTTCAATCAAAATGCAATTTTACCATTACCTGTTATGTCTCAAATATGGATTGCAGTGTGCCACACAGGCTTAATCCTTCGGTAGTCAGAACTGAGTACATGCCAAGACAGGCAAAGACTCTCTCTTGATTTGTTTGCCCATTTTTCTTCCCACTAAAGTGAAGGCCAGGGCAGCACAGTGGTGCAGACCAGCCTGGCACTGTGCACCTACAACAGGTGCTAGAAAATATTTCTGCATCTTCCATTTTATACAAAGCTCTCACTTCTACTGACTGAGAGGACATCAAGCAACCCTGTTTTCTTAGTGCAAGTTTGCAGAAAATCAAGGCATATGGGATGACTATCATCCGATACGCTGCCGCGATCTTTTTCTAACAGGTTTTAGTCATAAGGCACAGCTGAAATCCATATGGTTTTCTCATATTATTTAAACCCCAATAAAAAAGCTTGCTTATTATGTATTATGTATGGTATTTATGGTGATAGGCAACTGAAAGTGAACAATACACCATAACAGCACTTTTTTGAAGAAAGCTGAAAGGAAATACATATACCAACACCAAAGTACTGTAAATACTTCTTCTATATTTAGGACAGACTTTTATTCATACCAGCCCAGTATCATTGTGCTCATTAATCTCAAAGCTACTGAGAAATGACATCTCTCATTCTGATTTACTACAAATATTCAGTGAAAAAATTAATTTTCAGTACGTATGTACCTTGATGACCCTGCAATGTTAAATTTATTTCCCTATTTCATTAGTAAGTCTGTCCCATGACTGTCTGCTGAGAATGGTAAACTGCCTCATCCATCATTCACTGGACAAAATTTTTAAATAAAGATATCATAATTATGAGAACTGCTATATTAACACTGAAAGGCCGATTCATAAAACTTGATTAAACATATGAACTTTATACTATGAAGCATGCTGCCTGACGAAGGTAATTCCCAAGTTTTGCAACCTTAGCTCAAGTAGTGTATTTTAAGTGTGTTTATTGAGTCATCCACTACAATATAGAAGTGCTTAGGTCACAATTGCAACAAATTGCAACAAATTTTGTTAAAATGGCAGAAAACTATATATTTAACATGAATACATGAGGCAGAGTCATTGTTACAATGTGTCTTAATATTATCCCTATTGGCTATTCTTGTAAATAAACTAAACTCACAATAGTCTAAAATTCCATTTAATCACTTCATGATATTTTATTTGGGTTTTATAACAACAAACAAAGACTAACAAAACCACTGCATTTATTCAGTATTGCTCTCAGAACATCAGAAAAATGAACTCGATAGTATATTGCATATGTGCACTTACCCCTAAAGATAGCTTGCATTCATATAAAGAAAGTAATAAAACAACAATGTACAAAACAAAAATATTAGATTAACAGAACGGGACCTCATTTTCCTCTGCTATAAAAGTAGCACATTACCTATGCAATGCAGCCTGTTACTAGAGGAAAGCCTCACTGACGCTGCTGTCATTCTGCATTCTTTCACAGGGTTATTTACACAAGTGCTGCAATATTGATTAATACTTTCTGATTATCCTTACACAGAAAATTAAATGAAAAAAATACACTTACTTGCTTTTCCCTTTGTATACTGTAGCATAGGACCCTTCTCCAAGTTTTTCCAGTTTTTCGTACGAGTCTGCTTTTCCAAACTTGGGGCTTGTAGGCTAAACAACAACAACAAAAAACAGACGACCTTTCAGCATGCATTTCACCTGACATCATTAACTGCTTTGATTCAGCCTTGAAAGAATAAATGGCATTACCAAAACTCGTAAACCTACATTTGTTTTTAGCAGTTAATAAAATAGTAGCAGCTAGCTAATAAAAAAGGTAATAGCAGAGCTAATGAAAAAATGCAGTAGGTCACTCAAGCATCATTCAACACCGCAGATGGTTGCAACAATATCCTTACATCACTGAAACCATCAAAAGGATTTTGTTCATAATCAAAGGGAGATTTCTGCTTCCTTTTTCACTTCATACCCAGAAAAGGATAGTTAATAACTAAGCCACCTTATCTTTGACACGAGATCTAAGGAATAGTCTTAATCTGTCCTAAAAAAATCCAATTTGGCATGCCTTTTAAGTTAAAAATAAATAAAAAAATAAATAAGCAAGCCAAAGCCCACCCAAAGCTTCTGTTATGTTAGGCAGTCTGTGGACCCGGTACACCAACCACTCCTGAGACACCAGTCAAAATCTTACAGGGATGTACGTTGAATTCAGAAACAAGATACTTTCTTTATGTTAATGAACTTTATCTTGCAAACATAAGCAAAGCATATTTTAATGGCGTGTACACGCAGCGCAGTCTACTCACATGCATCAGGCTTAACGTCTGCAGCCTAAGTGAGGGGTCTATAACGGAACCAAGCAAAACCCAGCACCTTGCTCAAAAGGCCAGACAGCTCAGCTGACCCTTGTCAAAGGCTGGAACTTGCCCCACTTTTACATAGTCCTGGCGTGGAACAGTAAAAAGCTTCAAAAATAAAAAATCACCTGACACAAAAATGACTCATTTGGAAAAGTGGCTTTAAAAAATGAGAAAAAAATGATATATTATGAGCAGTATTACAGAAAGCCATGTTTCCTTGTTTTTAGTCAGTGAAACAAAAGCTATTCCAAAGGACATAATATAACAATTGCTTATTATAATTTCAACATATATAATCAGGTCAGTTTACACTTCTATGTCTTTGTTTCTAATGCTGAATGTGCGCTTCAAGATATGCACACGCGCAGAAAAGAAATACCGTAATATACAACAAAATATGTCTCCATTAACATCCCAGAAGATTTTAACATTTTAATATACATATATGCACATACATACACACATCCACATATATACACACACACAAAACTTCAGACTTCAGAAGGATTTTTTCTTTAAAGAGATTTCAGATTTTGTTTCAATTAAATTTTCAGACTCATTCAAAGATGAAGAGAAAAAAGTTAATCTTTGTTCCCTTCTATACCAACCAACCAATCATCAGAGATGAAATTGAGCTAAAAGTCATAAATGGAAGTGTCTTAAGGTTAAAATAAATAAATAAATAATTCTGTTGAAGAAGGTTTCAATCACAAACCCTTCAAATCCAATTTAAGTGCCAGTTTAGCTGTAAATTTAGGCTAACTGTTGCAAATTGGAAGCAGTGGAGGATAAACCTTTTTACATGCAACACATGATGAAGCTCTAGGAAAATGCTTGAGTGTTATGAAGTTTATCCTGTTTTCCCAAGTTTCACCATTTTCCCACTGTCCAGGTCAGCTAGAGAATAAGGATTTTCTTATGGAATTAGAGGCTTAAGGAAAGTCTCATCATTTCCTGCCCGAGACAAGAAACAGCAGCTGCCACCTGCAGTATCTATGTAGGGTTTAGACTGCAGTGCTCACGTCCTGCGTGCCTAAACCAACCAAAAGAGCGTAAGGCAGAAGCTTCGTGGCACCGATCAGAAATCATCCTCATGCTTACCTCGTGCCTAAAGCAAGCTCATAAGCTCAAATCAAACACAGGGACTGATTAGTTAGTGCTCTGGTTGTAACATCACAGAAGTAGAGAAGCCAGCCTAGTACATGCACATAGCACTGTGCCAGGCGGATTTGCATGTTTAGGGCTGGATGGGGAAGATCTAGCACATGCCCAGTTGCATACAGACTCACATTTAGGATCTTAAGTCAAACCAACAAGAAATACTCCAGTTTTCTCTTTTTCAAAAAGAGACTCAAACACTGCCCAGCACAGGCCTTTAAAATACAGGCCAAGTTTTAAATGAATTGAGCCAAGAAAATGGATCTCTTACATGGACAAGAACACCCAAGCAAGATGACATGGTACAACACACCTTACCATTACATCCAATTAGTCAACAGATAGATAGAAACTACAAACATTCTCTTAACTGTCCTGTCTGTTCTAAGCCACAGTTCTGCTGCTTGGTATGTATTGGCATTTTCTGTGATTAACACCCCAGGTTTCCTCTGTCTGCTATCAATACATAGCCATATATGCTTGCAAAACTGAGTCTTTTCATCTCCTTCCAACACCCAGAACAATCTCTGCATTATTTTTGCTATTCAACTCGTAAACATGAATAAACAGATGAAAATTCACTGTATGGGAACTCTCAGTTCTTCCTGTTACACTATTTTGACCAGTTCATTATAGATAAGGGAGTTATATCCAGCTCCCAATCTGTCCTTGCAAAGACCTTCTGCCTGGTTAGAAACTGTATTAAAAAAAAAGCACAGTTAGAGAGGTGGCTAAAATACTTATTCAAGCAGTTTTCTCATTTAAGTATCCAATTATGAGCTAAGGTAACACTATGAAACTGTTTGGATGTTTCAGTTACTACATAGTAAAAAAAGATTGGGAAACATGTCACAAAATGCAGACTGTGCGGTGAAGAGCTCTAGGTGGAGTGGACATGTTGCCCTCGTTTTAAAAAGTGAACACCTTGATGCTGCTCTCCTCATATAGTGAGGAATACTATTAATACACATGTTTCATATCCATGCTCTTCATGCTGAGATTTACTTTTATTTTATATCACTGCAAACCATAATATAAAGGTCACAACAACTTGTAATGCCTTAAGATGCCTTCAAGGCTTTTGACACCGTCCCTCACAACATCCTCTTGGGCAAGCTCCGGAAGTGTGGGATAGATGAGTGCACAGTGAGGTGGGTTAGGAACTGGCTGGATGGCAGAGCTCAGAGGGTGGTGATCAGTGGCGGAGTCTAGTTGGAGGCCTGTAGCTAGCAAGGTCCCCCAGGGGTCCAGTCTGGGGACTGGACTTGGTCCAGTCCTGTTCAATTTATTCATCAATGACCTGGATGAAGGCACAGAGTGCTCCCTCAGCAAGTTTGCTGATGACACGAAACTGGGAGGAGTAGCTGATACCCCTGAGGGCTGCGCTGCCATCCAGAGGGACCTGGACAGACTGGACAACTGGGCGGTGAAAAACCTCATGAAATTCAACAAAGAAAGACAAGTACAAGGTCCTGCACTTAGGGAGGAATAACCCCAGACACCAGTACAGGCTGGGGACTGACCTTCTGGAGAGCAGCTCTGCAGAGAGGGACCTGGGTGTCATGGTGGACGACAAGGTGACCATGAGGCAGCAGTCGAGAGAGGTGATCCTGCCCCTCTACTCAGCCCTGGTGAGGCCACATCTGGAGTATTGTGTCCAGTTCTGGGCTCCACAGTATAAGAGGGATGTGGAGCTGCTGGAGAGAGTCCAGCGCAGGGCCACAAGGATGATCAGGGGCCTGGAACATCTGCCCTATGAGGAGATCTTCAAAACCCGCTTGGACGCAGCCCTGTGCCACCTGCTCTAGGTGACCCTACGTGTGCAGGGGGGTTGGACTAGATGACCTCTAGAGGTCCCTTCCAACCTTAAGCATTCTACAATTCTATGATTCTAAGATCTTGATGGGAACTAGGATGCCTTTAATCCTGAAACACACATTAAAGCATCAGCAATAATCATTCCTGCAATCTCAAACCAACTTCCCCATATTCCAGCTGACAAAGGCCCTGCTTTAAGGTCACGTCTTTTGACTCATTCTCCCCCAGGGAGCTGCTGCGTCCTTGCCAGGAGCAGGCAGAGACGAAAGCTCACAGCAGTAGGAGGAGGGCGAAGCGCTCGCTCCTCACCAAGCAAGAAGGGAGCCACTTCGCACCATCCTCGAGGGCTCCCTGCGCAGTGTCACGCAGCCGCACCACGGACCTGCCGCCAGCCCCTTCCCCAGTCCAGGCAGCCCAAATGATGTTGCCCGATCATTCCAAGCAAACAGGCTCCTAAGCGGGCAGAACCCCCACAATAAGGCCACAGGCTGCCCAGGAACATGGTCAATCTCCTCCCATTCCCTGCTCCTGCCCTTCTGCAGTCGAGCTCAGATCCCTCTTCCAACTGGATGACTAAATGGGATGGCTCACAGGCCAATGTTCTTGTGTTACCACATCTCCAGCTGTAGAAGTGGACATGATTATAAGTTTTAAGTTTAAAAGGACCTAAAGAAAGGGCTATTTTTGTACTAAAGGCATATAAATAATTTGAAATTCCATGTAATTGCTGACAATTATATCAATTACAGCTTTCCCCACTTTATTATTACACCCCCTTTCATATGGCTATTTCTCCCAACTTCACTGCCATGATTTTTTTATTTAGATCTCTCCACCTTACTGTTTAGCTTTTCCACCCACTTCCACTTTTGTTAAAAATAACCTTGTTGCAACAAGATAACATTTTCTAAACAATGGTAATATCTGGAGTGTGATATAAAATTCACTTTTAAGACCATTTCTTTTTATTCCTCCCAGTAAAATACACGGTAATACTACACAGAGATCTGTGTCGGTTAAATCACAAGTGTCCCATATTCTGTCTAGGATGTGGCTGATGGAAATACGCACAGTGAGTAAGACATATCCAGAGCACATCAGATTTACAGTGCATGCATCAGCCACTGACCTCTCTCTCAAACAATAACCTCACAAGAAGCCTCCATATATTCCAGAAAATTGCTGAAAGTCCTCCAGTTTAATCCAGACAAGATTTCTTGACAGAAAATAATATTAATTTTAGTTTGTCACTTGTGTTAAATGTTTGCTCAAAGCTGTTTCTGAAGATTGACTCTTAAAAAATGTAAACATAAA